TTGGGCTTTTTCTCATCATCAGGTTGAGAGAGGCACTTCTAGTTTTCTACTTTCTGGACAAGAGTGGGGATTTTATTTTTTTTAAGAGTGGGAATTCTTGCCTGGACTATTGAAAGAGCCAGTGTCCCACATTATACCCAGATGTATGAAGTCAACTTTTTTTCACAGAGCACTTGCCTTAAATCCTTTGGGTGGCTTCCTGTCATTCTAAGGGTGACCAAAATCCTCTATGAGGCCTAGACTTGGCCCTTACCCACCTCTTTTACCTTAATTTGTCCCAATCCCCCTTTACTCTCTGAAAGTCATTGGTTTGTGCTCATTCTCTTCCCTCTTCCCCTGCCACCTCTCTCCCCTTTTCCAATTTTTGTCCTATTAATTCAGATCTCAGATTCAACTCCTTTTCCTCGAGACCTTGCTTAATGCCACCTCACCCCCAACTGTCAAGTGTTCGCAGGTCCTCCTTGGCAGCACTTACACATCTCTCTAGTTATCTAATTATTTCATTTATGTCTGTCTCCCCAGCCAGTTTCTAAGTTGCAGGAGGAAAGAGACCGTGTTTATCCACAAGTTCTTAGTGGCCAACATGGCAGCCAGCACCACACTCAATACATGTATGTTGCTGTTGGGATTAAACTAAGAATGGGTAGAACCAACTCAGGGAACCTGCTTGCACGAACCTGCTTTTGTTCTGCTGGTTGCAACTCTCTGGACCATGGAGAGCTGGCTGTCTCTGGGGAATGGCAGTTAAAGGGCCTAGTTGTAACCAGCCTCACCCTGAGTTGGACTGGGGGCCCAGGTGCCATCCAGCTGCCATCTGTACTGTTCTAGAAGTTAGATGGCCGGAACCACAGTCTGACATGTGGAAATACGGCTGGTAAAAATTTTTTTGAATTGCTAGAAACGGCAAAAGAGAAAGAAGTGAGGACACACCCGGTTCCATTCAAGTGACACTGGTAATACTTCAGGAAAGGTCCTGGGAAAAGTTACTAACTGGCTCTTTTCTGTTTACAGCTTTAATGCACCATCTGAGGCCCTTCTATCTTGTGACTTGACATGCTTTGTTGGATCTGAAGATGTAGTAGAGGATATAGAAGGTGAAATAATTTTGAGTATTTTATTGAGATAAAGTTCAACCAGCAGTTACTGCAATGAGTAGAAAATGGGCCCAAGTTTTAGCTATACTAATAAAAGGGCAATATGATAATTAGACCGGGAGACAGGACATCTTCCGACCATGTGACTTCCTTCCAGACAAAGCCACGGTGGTGGGGCAGAGGCGGTTAGGGGCAATCAGGCTAGCAGCGGAGGGCAGTTGGGGCCATGAGGCCAGCAGGGGAGGGCAGTTGGGGGCCATGAGGCCGGCACGGGAGCGGTTAGGCAGCGATCCAGCTGGTAGGCAGGCAAGTGGTTAGGAGCCAGCGGTCCCAGAGTGCGAGAGGGATGTCCGACTGCCAGATTGGAGAGGGTGCAGGCCGGGCTGAGGGACCACCCTCCCATTCATGAATATCGTGCACCGGGCCTCTAGTTTCATATAAATGGAGAGATGTTGGTCATATGTAAAATGAGAGAATGCAGGTACTACTACTATATACTGATAGGTCTTAGAGAAATTAAAAATGCAGGACTTATAGAACATGAGACCTTGAAACCAACTTGCCACTGGGCTCAGATCTTTGAAAGGTAATATCTGGAAGTAAATGTTTTGTTGTTTTTGATGTCATTTGTTACTAAATTTATAATTTTGTTTATTTTTAGCCTGGAAAGATGTAATCAGTGGAAGTTTTCATATTTATGTGCGTCCAGGAAATCACTTTTATCTCATGGAAACTTCCAATGAGACCTTCATCATGAACTACATAACCAAGTGTCTAGAAATATCGATGCTTGCCTGACTAGACGTTTTTCCGGTCTTAAAAAGTCAAAGTGATTATATGATAGTTTGAAAAGTTTTTTCAGAAGTAGTTCATTGTTTTCATTCAGAAATTGGAAAGTTATACATCTGCTACTGTCAGGGGATTTGTTATATATATACACCTGTATCTGGGGACAAAAGTCAGATGGGTCAAGCATACTTCTGGTAGGGCCTTTGTCTTTGTATTAGAATCTCATCTGAGTCTCATCTGTGGGAAGTTTGTCAACAAAATTCCTGCTTAGTAAATGATCCATTTTTACATTCAATTATTTTAACAGTGAAAATGGCAGACAGGGCATATGCTTGAAATTAAATTATTGTTTCATCCGCACACAGATTCAAAGCTTGATCTAATCTTTTAAAATGTAGGTTCATTCCATTTAATAAGAAAATGTAACCTACTGCTTGGTTAAAACAAGATGGTCCTAAGCAATCATTGCCGGCTGCTCTGTTGGTACTCAGAGTGCCTGGGAGCTCTTGCCCTCTTCTGATGGGTTCCTCCTACATCGACTGCCCTGTGGCTCTGGGTGGCCCTGCTGCTGCCCTGGCAGTGACTGACTTTGGCCGAGGGGGAGTATGGAGTGGCCAAGTACAAACGCCATGTCCCATAGGCACCTCAGCCTCACCCTGTGAGCGTTTGATGTTGACAAGAGGAGGAAGTAGAACAGCTGGAAGCAAACAGCAGCTAAAAGGGGGAAAAGCAGAAGTAGGGAAAATGAGCTCAGTCAAAACAATGAAGCTTACAAATGGGAACCGAAGATGCTCCGGATGAGAATGAAGAGGCCCCGTGTCTCTGAGCCGTGTGGATCCTGCAGTCTCCGGCAATTCCCAAACTGTTTGTCCTTGGAATCCTCGCTATTCTCTCAGACATCCTGATTTCCTTATTTCCTATGGATCTTCACAATAAACTCTAGTACTTGATTGATGTAACCGATGTCTCTTGCTTATGGCTAAAACTGCTTAACCCAGCATCATACATTAAAATGTTAACTTTTAAAGCATTGATATGTTTATGATCACATAATATGGGTTCATGTTTTTTAGCAATTTTAAAATCGTATATAAAGTCTTAGTAAATAAGATAAAAGGAAATGCATACAGGAGATATTTTTCAGAATTTACCAGTACTTTTTAACAAAGTACAAATAATATAAAATTTGTTATGGAGAAAGGGCTTTGAGCTAGAATTCACATAATAATAAATTTGGGCTAAAAATAGCCTCAAGCAAATGATGTTAAATGTTTAGTACGTGCTGTGCTGTGCTTTACTCTCTGGTATATGACTTCCAGGGTTCCCTTACAGAAGAACTGGTACTAAAGTAATTTAGATTCTTGATTATTAGTTTAAATAACTTTTAGTTATTATAGTCCACAAATGGAAATCCCACGAAGGAGCCAATGCCAGGCTTTTGGGGTGAGCTTTCTCACCTGCCTTTCCACCTGAGAGGTGAGGTCCACATGGGAATAGCTCTGAGAGTTTTCAAGGCCTCGATTGGAAGGACCAGGCCTCCACTGCTGATGTCTTCTCATTGTTGGATTTGGACGTTGACTCATCGTGTCTTTAGGCAAAACTTAATAGAAATGAGAATCACTGTTACATCTACACATTTTCCAAATTAGAAATCAAGCTAGATTTGTTAATTAAACTTTTTATTTTGAGACGATTGTAGATTCACATGTGGTTGAAAGAGATAATATAGAAACACTCAGCTTCCCCTAATACGAACATCCCACAAACATCTAGTGTAACATCACCACCAGGAAACCGTCATTCATATCATCAAGATACAGAACATTCCTAGACCACAGGATTCCTCCCACTGCCCTTTCAACAACACCTGTGTCCCTCCTCCCTGGCAATCCCTGGTCAGCCTTTTAGATCTGTATCAAGAATGTTCCAGAAATGGGGCAGTATGTAACCTTTAAGGGTTAGCTTTTTTTCCCATTCAGCATAATCCCCTGGAAATTCATCTAGTGAATCTAGATTTTTTTTTTTAAAGCCACATGAAATCAATCTATCCCTCTGGTCATCCCATACCAAACCTGAACCCTCATGCAGGCAATAGAGGGACACTGTTTTGGGGAGATTTGTAGCCTATGAAATCTCAAACATATTTTAGAACTATTAAAATGAGACTATCTTCATCCTGGCTGGGTGGCTACAGTGGGTTGGAGTGGTGTCCTGTAGACCAAAAGGTTGTGGGTTCCATTCCTGGTCAGTGCACATACCCAGATTGTGGGTTCGATCCCTGATCAGAGTGTGTACGGAGACAACAAATCTATATTTCTCTCACATTGATGTTTCTCTCTCTCTCTAAAAATCAATAAACACATATACCTAATAGAGGGACACTGTTTTGGGGAGATTTGTAGCCTATGAAATCTCAAACATATTTTAGAACTATTAAAATGAGACTATCTTCATCCTGGCTGGGTGGCTACAGTGGGTTGGAGTGGTGTCCTGTAGACCAAAAGGTTGTGGGTTCCATTCCTGGTCAGTGCACATACCCAGATTGTGGGTTCGATCCCTGATCAGAGTGTGTACGGAGACAACAAATCTATATTTCTCTACATTGATGTTTCTCTCTCTCTCTAAAAATCAATAAACACATATATCCTCAGGTAAGGATTTAAAAAAGAGAGAAACTATCTTTTTCAGAGAGTCTGTGTACCAGCAAGAAAAACTGAGTATTGGGCCAATATATTTCAGACTCTACACTTTCACTCTGATAAAACTCAACATAAGAGGTATATTACCACTAGATAGTATATTTCAGGACTGGAATCAGGCCTGTGCCAGTGTCGACCCCAAAGCTACATGGTGCAACAAAAGAATAGCTTTGTTATTGGTTCTTTAAAAAATGTTGATTACACCACTATAGAAAAACAGATAAGCCAAAAAAAAAAACAAAAAAGCAAAAAACAAACAATTGTGCCCAGCCAGCATGGCTCAGTGGTTGAGCATCAACCTATGAACCAGGAGGTCACAGTTCGATTCCCGGTCAGGGCACATGCCCAGGTTGTGGGCTCGATCCCCAGTGTGGGGAGTGCAGGAGGCAGCCAATCAATGATTCTCTCTCATCATTGATGTTTCTATCTCTCTCTCCCTCTCCCTTCCTCTCTGAAATCAATAAAAATATATTTATTTTAAAAAAGAGCAAACAATTGTTAATGTTTTGTGCACACACTACCAGAGCAATACTTTTTTGAAAGTGTTTAAAATCATCTCTTTATATTGATTAGTCTTTGACACACGATGAATCAGAAACCTAAATAAATTTAAATGTAAAAGAAAAACCCACCTGGTTTTTAGCAAGTAAAATTTCCTTAAATATATAGTTTCATCATACCTCTAATTAAAGATTATAATTCATGTTACTAGCAAAAATTTTCATGAGGTGTAATGAGTTAATAGTGCATTTTCTCCTCTAAATGTTAGGTCATGATACCATTATGAAGGCTTCAAAAGGAAAGTTTTCTCATACGCTGAATTCTAAATTCCATATTTTTCTATCAGCTCTTTTGCTTTAGAAATATAGGCATTCATGGCATCTTCCTTCGATAATCCTAGAAAGATACAAACAGATCATCTCAGTAACAGATGCATTGGGAAGTTAAAAAAGTTCACTGAACTTAAGAATTAACAACCTTTTTGGAGGTTCCATGCTTCCCACTTAGCCTTGCCTTTTAAATCTAGCATTCCTGGACACTCTGCCAAAAGAAGGATAAACATTGTCAGGTTTACTTTTTACTCTACGCTTCTATAAACATTGATCAAAGTATATCACTATTTTAAAGATGACAATAAATACCAATATTGACGTCTCCAATTACAGATTGTTTGTAGAGCCCGTAAAGTTCTTTCAGTTCTTCATCATCTGGCCTTGCTTTCAGCTTCCTCACATCTTCCGCTGCCCTATCAAAATCAGCCTAAAGCAAAGGAGAAAAGGCACATAGTGCATTCGCTAAGTGTATGCAGGCCCGTCTGTTTGGGGGCTTTTACCACCAAGCAGTGGGAACTCAGAGGAGCAGGGGGAGGGAGATGCAAACAGAAATAAACTACTACTGCTCTGGCTCAACCAGAATTATCATAACTTATTCATGGACCCCACTCCAGGTATTTATGTGTTATATAGACAAGATATGGTGAACAATATTTAATTCTGAATACTGAAAATGTTCAACTTATCAATGTTTAAGAATTGAAGATGACACAAGTAAATGGAAAAATAACCTGTGTTTTTGGATTGGAAGAATTAATATTGTTAAAATGTCCATACTACCCCAAGCAACCAAGCAACCTACAGATTCAATTCAATCCCTATCAAAAGTCCAGTGGCATTTTTCAGAAATAGAAAAAACAATCCTAAAATTTGTATGGAACCACAAAAACTCCAAATACCCAAAGCAATCTTGAGAAAGAAAATTATATCCAGAGGCATCATGCTTTCTGGTTTCAAACTATAATACAAAACTATATTATTCAGAACAGTATGGTACTGGCATAAAAACAGGCACCTAGGTCAATGGAATGGAAAAGAGAGCCCAGAGAGAAACCCATGCATACATGGTCAATTTAATTGAGAACAAATAAGCCAGTCTCTTCAACAAACGGTGTTGGAAAAACTGGACAACCACATGCAAATGAATGAAACTGGACCACTATCTTACACTGTACACAAAAATCAACTCAAAATGGATCAAAGACTTGAACATAAAACTTGAAAGCATAAAACTCCAAGAAGAAAACACAGGTGGCAAGCTCATTGAAACTTGTCTTAGAGGTAATTTTTTTTGGATTTGACACCCACAGCAGAAGCAACAAAAGCAAATGTAAACAAGTAGCATTACATCAAACTAAAAAGCTTAAGCACAGCAAAAAAAAACCACCAACACGAAAAGACAGACCTACCAAATGGAAGAAAATATTTGAAAATCATATAGCTGATGGGAGTTAATATCTAAAATATCTATTAAAAAGTCATACAATTCAAAAACAAAAAACAAACAATCCAATTAAAAATGGGAGGTAGATCTGAATAGACATTTTTTCCAAAGAAGACATACAGATGGCCAACAGATCTATGAAAATGTGCTCAACTTCACTAATCATCCGGGAAATGCAAATCCCATCAGTAGATGAGTGGATAAAAAAGCAGTGTTACATCTATACCATGGAATTCTATGCAGAAGTAAAAAAGAAGGCTCTCTTACCCTTTGAGACAGCATGGGGGGGGGCGGGGTCTAGAGAGTATTATGCTAACTGAAATAAGCCAGTCAGAGAAAGATAAGTATCACATGATCTCACTCATATGTGGAATCTAAAGAACAAAGTAAACTGATGAACAAAATAGATCCAGAGACATGGAAGCATGAAACAGACTGTGGAATCTCAGAGGGAAGGGAGGGGTGAGAAGAGATTAACCAAAGAACTTATACGCATATATGCATAACCTATGAACACAGACAATAGTGTGGTGAAGGCCTGGGGTGAGGATCAGGAGCAGACTAGAGGGGTCAATGGGGAAAAAGGGGACATATGTAATACTTTCAATAAAGATAAATTTAAAAAACACACAATGAGATATCACTTTACACCTGTTACAATGGCTTTTATCAAAAAGATAAGAGATAATAAGTGTTAGTAAGGATGTGGAGAAAATGGAACCCTGTACTCTGTTGGTGAGAATGTAAAATGGTACAGCCCACTATGGAAAACAGTATGAAGGTTCCTTAAAAAGTAAAATAATAGAACTATTATATGATCCAGCAATCCCATTTCTGGGTATTTAATGAAGGAAAAAAATTGCTATCTTGAAAAGACATCTGCACCTCCATTTTAATTGCAGCAATATTTATAATATCAAGACATGGAAACAACCTAAGTGTCCATCAACAGATGAATGGATAAAGAAGAGATATACAATGAAATATTATTCAGCCATAAAAAAGGAGACAATATTGACAACTGAATGTACCCTGAGGGCATTATACTATGGAAATAAGTTAGATGGAAAAAGCCAAATACTGCATGATCTAACTTATACATGGTATATAAAAAACAAACCCAGGAACAAAGAACAGATTGGTGGTTATGAGAATCAGGGGGTTGGGGGATAAGGAAATAGGTGAAGGTGGTCAAAAGGTTAAAAAAATTGTAAGACATATTTTTCCTGTAAGGTAAAGTGCATAAATAAATTTTTCTATTAAAAACTGTTTAATCGCATTGCACTCAAATGCAGCTTTCTCGATCAACCTCATGGACACCGTCTTCACTTCTTCCTAAATCTACACTTCACTATATGTAATAGCTTTGCTACCAATTAATATCTTGTCCAGGGCACATGCCTTTCACAGTCTTCAGCATCAGTATTATTTGTACTCGTTTAATGGACTAGCTAGTTTCTGAGGGCAGTATTTCTGCTTTCATTGTGTAGATTCCTTTAAACAAAACTTATAAGACTTATTTCAACTGGTTTACAGAAAAGAGAAGTTGTTCAGCCAACTTAGAGCTGATTAATGAAAAGCAACTGGCTTCCTGGGGACTTTGTATACAAATAGACTGAGTAATAAACTTTGTCCTCCTCAGGACTTACCTCTGCCTAACTCCCCAGGACCCTCAGCTCAGGACTTGGCCTGAAGCTGCCTCTTGGCATATTCCTCCCGAGACACAGTGCACCTAGAAACTTGGTTCCTGTCCCCTTTTTAACCTCTTAGTGTATATACAAAGGCTATGGTGGTTGTTTTCCTTAATAGAAAATTTCCATTCTTTTTTAAAAAATCATTTTTATGTCTCAATTATGGTTGACATACAATATTAGATTAGTGATTAGACATTACATAACTAAGTGATCGACCTGATAAATTTCACACCTGACACCATACTAAGATATTAGAATATTATTGATTATATTCCCTATGTTGTACTTTACCTGCCCCCATGACTATTCTGTAACTATAAATTTGTACTTCTTCATCCTTTCACCTTTTTGCCTATTCTCCCAATCTACCTCCTATCTGGCAACTATCAAAATGTTCTCTATATCTATGAGTCTGTTACTATTTTACTTCATTTGTTTTTTGGGTTTTTTTAGATTCAATCATTGACATATATGTATTTATTGTCATTTTATTGTTCAAATTTTTTATCTTTTTTTTCTTTTTCTTATAGAAGATTATTTAACATTTCATGCCATACTGGTTTAGTAGTGATGAACTCCTTTAGCTTCTTCTTGTCTGGGAAGCTCTTTAACTGTTCTTCAAGTCTAAATGATAGCTTGGCTGGGTAGAGAGAGTAATCTTGGTTGTAAGCCCTTGCTTTTTATCAATTTAAATATCTCCTGCCAATCCCTTCTGGCCTGCAAATTTTCTGTTGTGAAATCAGCTGACAGTCTTATGGAAGCTCCCTTGTAGGCAACTAACTGCTTTTCTCTTGCTGCTTTTAAAATTATCTTTGTCTTTAACTTTTGCATTTTAATTTTGATGTGTCTTAGTGTGGGCCTCTTTGGGTTCATCTTGTTTGGGACTCTCTGAGTTTCCTGAACTTGTATGTCTATTTCTTTCATCAGGTAAGTGAAGTTTTCTGTCATTATTTTTTCAACTAGGTTTTCAATTTCTTGTTCCCTCTCTTTTCCTTCCTGTATCCCCATGATGCAAATGTTGGTACACTTGAAGTTGTCCCAGAGGCTCCTTACATTATCCTCCTTTTGGGGGGATTCTTTTATCTTTTTGCTATCCTGATTGGGCATGTTTTGCTTCCTTACATTCCAAATCACTGATTTGATTCTCAGCTTCAACTCTACTGTTGATTCCCTGTAAATGATTCTTCATTTCAGTTAGTGTAGCCTTAATTTCTGACTGGTCATTTTTTATGCTGTTGAGGTTCTCACTAAGTTCATTGAGCATCCTTATAAGCAGTGTTTTGAACTCTGCATCTAGTAGATTAGTTGTCTCCATTTTGTTTAGTTCTTTTTCTAGAGTTTTGTACTGTTCTTTCATTTGGGACATGTTTCTTTATCTCCTCATTTTGGCAGTCTCCCTGTGTTTATTTCTATAATTAGGTAGAGCTGCTATGTCTTCCAGGCTTGGCAGAGTGTCCTAATATGGTAGGTGTTCTAGGTGTTCTATAGGTTCCAGTGACACAGCCTCCCTGATCACCCAAGTTGCGCATTTGAGGTTTGTCCCCCACCCCCCCAGTGTGGTCTGTGTATACCCTTCTTTTATAGTTGAGACTTTATTACTGTTGGTATGTCAATGGGATGGATTTACCCCCATGCCAATCAGCTGCAAGGACTGACTGCAACCACCAACCACTGAGCTCTGACCACCAAGCTCCAATCACCATTGAAGATCAACTGTGCAGGGACCCATTCAACAGAGCAGGACTTACTTCAATGGGGCTATGGTGCCTGCTGAGTCTGCCCCTTGAGTGTGTTGCTTGTGGAGGTGGTTGGGTAGTGATGCTTTGACATGGTCTAAAGCTGCTTACTGGGTGCACTGGCCCTGGGGCCTCCCAGGAGGTGCAGGCCACGGTCAGCCGCCACCTGTATTCTGCTCTGGACCATCTGGCATGAGCTACAAAGTGATCTGCAGATGGCTGCTACTTGTGCTGGGCTTGGAGGTGCTCAGGTAAGGCCACACTGTGAACCAAGGCTGGCTGCTGTTAGTGCCGGGCTCGGGGCCACTTAATGAGGTATTGGGCATGCTGATGCTAGATGCTACTTGTTTGATAGATTTTTAAAAGAAAATCTGAAGCATGAGCACAACAAGCCACTCATATGGAAAAGCCACTGGAAAAACAGCATGGGTAGGCCTGAAAGTTGGGTGGAGCAGGGCCTCAGGAAACCATCAGGGCAAACTGTGTGAGCCAGCTTGATGGAATCTCAGATATGGTGCCTGCCTGTGGGCTCTGTAGGGTGAAAGCTCATCAA